TCCTCTGCTCAGCCTCCCAATAGGTTGGATTGAAACAGTACCCACAAGTTTTTTTGTTTTTTTTTTTTTGAGACGGAGTCTCCCTCTGTCACCCAGGCTGGAGTGCAGTGACGCGATCTTGGCTCACTGCAAGCTCCACCTCCTGGTTCATGCCATTCTCCTGCCTCAGACCTCCTGAGTAGCTGGGTGACTACAGGTGCCCGCCACCCATGCCTGGCTAATTTTTTGTAATTTTAGTAGAGATGGGTTTCACCGTGTTAGCCCAGGATGGTCTCGATCTCCTGACCTCGTGATTCCACCTGCCTCCGGGCCCTCTCAAAGTGCTGGGATTACAGGTGTGAGCCACTGCACCTGGACCCATGTTTTTATATTTTTAAAGGTAGGAAAAAAAAAAAGAGTTTATATGGTCAGCAAATCCTAAATATATATATTTTTATTATATATGTGTATATATTATTATAACTCTATAATATATTGTTTATACATAAATATAAATAAATTATATATTATTTTTATTAAATATATATTAATATATACATATATATTAAATATAACTATATTTATACCCTGTCTAGTATATAGACTACTAGGCTTAATTCTGCTGCCACAGCTTCCCACGTAGCTAGGACTACAGGGGCATGCTACCATGCCTGGCTATTTTATTTTTATTTTATTTTATTTTATTTATTTATTTTGAGACGGAGTCTCGCTCTGTCACCCAGGCTGGAGTGCAGTGGTCAGACCTTGGCTGCAAGCTCCGCCTCCCAGGTTTACGCCATTTTCCTGCCTCAGCCTCCCGAGTACCTGGGACTACAAGCGCCCGCCATCTCGCCTGGCTAGTTTTTTTGTATTTTTTTTTAGTAGAGACGGGGTTTCACCATGTTAGCCAGGATGGTCTCGATCTCCTGACCTCATGATCCGCCCGTCTCGGACTCCCAGAATGCTGGGATTACAGGCTTGAGCCACTGCGCCCGGCTTTTATTTTTTTTGAGATGGAGTTTCACTCTGTCTCGCCCAGACTGGAATGCCATGGTGTGATCTCAGCTCACTGAAACCTCTACCTCCTGGGTTCAAGTGATTCTCTTGTCTCATAGTCCTGAGTAGCTGGGATTACAGGTGAGCACCACTACACCTGGCTAATTTTTGTATTTTTAGTAGACAGGGTTTTACCATGTTGGCCAGGCTGGTCTGGAACTCCTGACCTCATGTGATCCACATGCCTTGGCCTTCAAACATGCTAGGATTACAGGTGTGAGCCACTGTGCCTGACCTATTTTTATTTTTGTAGTGACAGAGTCTTGCTATATTGCCCAGGCTGGTCTCAAACTCCTGGCCTCAAGCAATTCTTCCACCTTGGCCTCCCAAAGTACCAGGATTACAGTCATGAGCCACTGCACCCTATCCTAAAATATTTACTATTTGGTTCTTCACAGAAAAAGTTTGCCAAATCCTGGCTTATCGGGTATAGGATTATGGCTGATTTATCTCTCTCTCTCTCTCTCTTTTTTTTTTTTTTTTTTTTTTTTTTTTTTTTGAGAGGGAATCTCACTCTGTCACCCAGGCTGGAGTGCAGTACAAGCTCCGCCTCCTGAGTTCACGCCATTCTCCTGCCTCAGCCTCCTGAGTAGCTGGGACTACGGGCGCCCACCACCATGCCTGGCTAATTTTTTGTATTTTTAGTAGAGACGGGGTTTCATCGTGTTAGCCAGGATGGTCTTAATCTTCTGACCTCGTGATCTACCCGCCTTGGCCTCCCAAAGTGCTGGGATTACAGGCGTGAGCCACCACCTCCGGTCATGATTTATCTCTTTTATTTTGGTAATTTTTCAAACTACCATATAATAAACATGTCTGTCTTTACTTTTTTTTTGAGACAAGGTCTTGCTCTGATGACTGGGCTGGAGTGCAGTAGGGCATGAGCACAGCTCACTGCAGTCTTGACCTCCTGAGCCGACCCTGAGCCCCTCCTAGGCTCAAGCAATCCCCCTGCCTCAGCCTCCTGAGTAACTGGGACCATAAATATGTGCCAGCACGTCTGGCTAAGTTTTTTGTTTTTTTGTCGAGACAGGGTCTTGTCATGTTGCCTCAAACTCCTGGGCTCAAGTGATCCACCCACCTCAGCCTCCCAAAGTGCTGGGATTACAGGAGTGAGCCACTGTGCCCAAACTTCTCCCTTAATTTCAAAGTAGTCAGACCACAGAGGTCATACAGGATGATAATTATGTTTAAGTAAATAAATTGCAGAGAACAATTTCTGCATCCAAAAAGTGTCTGTTAGAAGACAAAGGGAAAACCTGCCCTGAGGTACAGCATACACAGTAAAGCCAGGTGTCTTTTTTTTTTTTTTTTTGAGAGAGGGTCTTGCTCTGTCACCCAGGGTAGAGTGCAGTGGTGCAATCACAGCATACTGCAGACTTGATCTCTAGGGCTTAAGTGATCCTTCTACCTAAGCTCCCAGAATAGCTAGCTGGACTAGAGGTATGTGCCATCATGCCCAGCTAATTTTTTAATTTTTTGTACAGATGGGATCTCACTGTGTTACCCGGGTTGGTCTGAAACTCCTGGGCTCAAGTGATCCTCTCACCTCAGCCTCCCAAAATGTTGGGATTATAGGTGTGAGCCACCTTGCCCAGCCAAAACCAGGTATCTGCAGTAGTACAGAAAAAGATATTTTAATTAGTAGACATGATAAATTAATTATTTTGTAGGGAACTGTGCCATGAGTTCCAGCTCCTTATCCTCTCTTTATTGGGAGAAATATCTGTGTCAAACAAAAACCTGTCTATACAACCTGGATTCTTAAGGTGTTACATATGTAGAAAGCTGGCTTGCATTCAGTTTCTCTATACTTTTGGTTCCAGTTGACTTGAAAAATATACTAACATTTTGAAAGGAGGCAGTTACATGGAACATACGAAACAGATATAATGCAAATATGGGTGTGACTGTTAATTGGGTTGGCATCTTATGGTTGAGCAACCAGATAAAAAAAGTGACAGAGAAGCTTTTCTGTTCTGGGAACCATTCTGATTTCTGTAGAAACTTTTGCAAAACCTTATGTCTATCTCACGGTTTAAAGCTCTCACAGGCTGGCTGGGAGTGGTGGCTCACACCTGTAATCCCAGCACTTTGTGAGGCCAAGGTGGGTGGATCACTTGAGGTCAGGAGTTCGAGACCAGGCTGGCCAACATGGTGAAACCCCATCTTTACTAAAATAACAAAAATTAGCCAGATGTGGTGGTATGCGCTTGTAGTTCCAGCTACTCGAGAGGCTGAGGCAGGAGCACTTGAACCCAGGAGGCAGAGGTTGCAGTCAGTCAAGATCGTACCATTGCACTCTAGCCTGGGTGACAGAGTGAGGCTCCATCTCAAAAATAAAATAGGCCAGGCACTGTGGCTCACACCTGTAATCCCAGCACTTTGGGAGGCCGAGGTGGGTAGATCACGAGGTAAGGAGATCGAGACCATCCTGGCTAACATGGTGAAACCCCGTTCTACTAAAATGCAAAAAATTAGCCAGGCGTGGTGGTGGGCGCCTGTAGTCCCAGCTACTCGGGAGGCTGAGGCAGAAGAATTGCTTGAACCCTGGAGGTGGAGGCTGCGGTGAGCTGAGATGGCGCCACTGCACTCCAGCCTGGGCGACAGAGCGAGACTTTGTCTCAAAAAAAAAAAAATAAAATAAAATAAAAATAAAGCTCTCACAGGCAGCTACACCTTCAATTTCCAAATTCTTAGAGGATACCCAACTGTATACAATATATTCTTTGTTTCTTTTCTTTTCTTCTTTTTTTTTTTTTTTTTGAGACAGAGTCTTACTCTGTCACCCAGGCTGGAGTACAGTGGCGCAATCGCGGCTCACCGCAGCCTCCGCCTCCCGGGTTCAAGCAATTCTCCTGCCTCAGCCTCCCGAGTAGCTGGGACTATAGGCGCATGCCACCATGCCTGGCTAATTTTTGTATTTTTAGTAGAGATGGGGTTTCACCGTATTGGTCACGCTGGTCTTGAACTCCTGACCTCAGATGATCTGCCTGTCTTGGCCTCCCAAAGTGCTAGGATTATAGGCATGAGCCACCGCACCCAGCCTCTTTTCTTTTTTTTTTTTATAAAGTTAGATGCTACGTGGTAGATGGCAATGCCTTGTATGTGTGTTGTCAGGCCCAAAGGGACTCTCCATCCTTGTCAAGTGGAGTGCTAACCTTCTCACCTGTCACACAAAACCCAGTATGTATTTTTAAAAATTATACTCAAAATGATGGGTGTGGTGGCTCACACCTACAATCCCAAGACTTTCAGAGAGCAACGTGGGAGGAATGTTTGAGGCCATGAGTTCGAGACCAGCCTGGGAAACACAGACCCTGTCTCTACAAAAAATTATAAAAATTAGCAGGGCATGGTGGCGCATGCCTGAGGACCCAGCTATTCAAGAGGCTGAGGTGGGAGGGTGCCTTGAACCCAAGAGTTGGAGGCGGTGAGCCATGATCAAACCACTGCACTCCAGTGGTTCAAAAAATTACACTAAAAAAGATAAATGAATACTCCATGACAAAGTAAACATATAGGCTAGGTATAGGGGATCATGCCTGTAATCCCAGCATTTTGGGAGGCCAAGGTGGGTGATCATTTGCGGCCAGCGGTTCGAGACCAGCTTAGTCAACATGGCGAAACCCTGTCTCTGCTAAAAATACAAAATTAGCCTGGCGTGGTGGCAGGTGCCTATAACCCCAGCTACTCAGGAGACTGAGGCACGAGAATTGCTTGAACCTGGGAGATGGAGGTTACAGTGAGCTGAGATCGTGCCACTGTACTCCAGCCTGGGTGACAGAGCAAGACTATCTCAAAAAAACAAAACAAAACAAAATAAAAAACCAACACATCTAACAACATCTAACACAAATACTGGCATAACCAAATCAATCAAGCGAATCTAAGCAAAGGCCTACCGGATCAGTGTGTTTCCAATCTGGTGCCGTATTTCATTCCACTCCTCCTTGCTTTTACAAGGCCAAGAATTCAGGTTCAACTCTGGTTCACTGGGTCTGTGGTTCAACTTCATTGCCAGTGTGTCTTTCCTCTTCACTTTGTTGGCGAGAGCACCTTTGTATACAGGGAAGAAAAATAGTAGAACTTGAGGCTTAAAGCCAAAGGTTCAACCTTACCTAGAGCTAGGCAAGAGTCTGAACAAATACAACATTTAATTCCCAGTTCCCACCTGGCCTCAAATGATCCAGCCAGACACTGAGGTGGGGGTAAAGCTAAAGACACCTAAAAATCTTTTTAGCCAGATGGACTCAGATGGTTAAAAGGTATCTTTTCTCTTCTATCAGGCCTCTACATTTTTCCTCTTTGATAAGAGTTGCGACAGGAGAGAGATTCTAAGCATGGGACAGCCCTCTGAATTAAAACATAAAGGCTTTCATACTAACACCCCATAGTCTGTTTTTAAAGCTGCCTTTCTACTTTATCAAGATTCAGTTATTTGCAAAGATGTGCGGGTATGAACATGTTTATTTTTCTCTGCCCTATGGCAATAAGTTCATTAGACCAAAGGGAAAACATCACTTTTATCTTTTAGCCCATGTGCCACCTTTCCTCTACTCCATATTGTTTTATTTTTTCCTTTGAGACGGAGTTTTTGCTCTTGTTGCCTAGGCTGGAGTGCAGTGGCATGATTTTGGCTCATTGCAATCTCCGCCTCCTGGGTTCAAGTGATTCTCCTGCCTTAGCCTCCTGAGTAGCTGGGATTATAGGCGTGCATCACCACGCCCAGCTAATTTTTTGTAGTTTTAGTAGAGACGGGGTTTCATCATGTTGGCCAGGCTGGTCTTGAACTCCTGACCTCAGGTGATCCGCCTGCCTCGGCCTCCCAAAGTGCTGGGATTATAGGTATGAGCCACCGTGCCTGGCCATGCCCAGCTAATTTTTTGTATTTTTAGAAGAGATGGGGTTTCACCATGTTGGCCAGGCTGGTCTCAATTTCCTGACCTCATGATCCACCTGCTTGAGCCTCCCAAAGTGCTGGGATTATAGGTATGAGCCACCGTGCCTGGCCATGCCCAGCTAATTTTTTGTATTTTTAGAAGAGATGGGGTTTCACCATGTTGGCCAGGCTGGTCTCAAACTACTAATCTCACCCACCTCAGCCTCCCAAAGTGCTGGGATTAGAGGCACTTAGGTGAATAGTTTTAAAATTGGGGGCAAACAAAAACCTGAAATTAGTACAGCCATTATGGAAAACAGTATGGAGGTTCCTCAAAAGACTGAAAATAGGCCAAATGAGGTGGCTCATGCTCGTAATGCAGCACATTGGGAAGCCAAGGCAGGAGGATTGCTTGAGGCTGGGAGTTTGAGATCAGTCTGGGCAACACAGCAAGACTCCGTTTCTACTTAAAAAACAAAACAAGACCAACAAAACACCCTTAAAAATACAACTACTAGGCCAGTCGCAGTGGCTCATGCCTGTAATCCCAGCACTCTGGGAGGCCAAGGTGGGTGGATCAGTCGGTCACGATCAAGAGAT